CATTAATTTGCAATATTACTTTAGCAATATTGCAGTAATATTTAAAAAAATATTACGAATATATTTTATTTATTTACTAGTTATTTTTGTTACTTGTATTTCAAATTCAGTAATGTTTTACATCAATAATACTTATAGAATAGTACTTAGAATAGCACTCGTTAGTGGCAATCATTAATTTGTCTTATTGCATATTTTTTATACTTCTTATACCGTTTTTTCGGAGAAAATACTTTCTTTAGATTTAATATTCGTACTTGTTTAATTTTGTGTTTTTTTTTTTTTATTTCATTAAAATATATTTTTAAACGAAATATCATTTTTTTAAATGATGAAAATAAAACTTGTATTTCGTTCAAGGAAACCATGTCATTTGATGAAACAACACTATCGTTTTAAATAATATTTTTTAAAAATTTCTCTCAAAATTTAGTAATTCGATTTGTTTAATTTGGATTTTCTTGGATTTAATTTTTTTTTTTGTTGGATTAATCATTATAACATTTTGTTAAAAATGTAAAAGTAATTATCACTGGTTCACTACATTACATCGCATATCGAATGTTGCATTGTTTCAATATCTATCAACAAATTATCCAATAAACAACAAGTAAAAATTATATAACCATTATTTGGTGTTTGCTAGATATGTTATAATATACTGTGAACAATAAAAGGATACATTTGTTTGCTTTTTCACGTAGAATAAAATGCCGTAATAAAAAATATGTATTTCTATTTAAAAAAGCAAAGTTGACCTTGTCCTGACCTTGGCGACATCATCTTAGGTCAAATAACTACTGTCATTAAATACGACTTTTTAAGCCTTACAACTTTTATTCGAAACATTTTTCTCTAAAATGCTCCCCCGCCGAGTTATCTTGCCGTTCCGGTACTTTTTCTATACCCTGTATATATATATGTGTGTGTGTGTGTGTGTGTGTGTATTACTGGAGACGGCTATGCTGAGTTGTGACGTTAGAAGCGAGAAATGATACAGATGCACAAAATTCTTATATGCCATTTCTAAGTAACATTTCTTTTCGTAAAAAAAAATTTTTACAAGAAGACACTTCAGATTACTTGAGCATATTTGTAAAATGTTCTGAAAACTATACCTTTGTAAAATGTTCTGAAAACTATACCTTTTTCTCTTGATAATAAATTAATATCTATAAAATAAACGTGGCAAAATCGTGAGAAAAGGATTAAAGAGGAAGACTGCTTGCCACATTCGTTTTATTGATTGTCAAAAAAAAGCATAGTTTTTGAAGTATGCTCAAACGATCTGGTGTTCTTTCATACAAATATCGTTTTATTAATGACACGTAAGAATTTAGGATATGCGTTTTTTTCGGCTCTAACATTATCATTTAGGAGTTCCGCAACGAGTATTCAGGATCCTCAACAGTATCTAACATAAAAGCGTGTTTTCACTGTGTTTATTGCGAAAGAAGTTTGCAATCTACTTATCTATTTCTTAGGTGTATGGAGTACGGTACATATGCTATGCATCTTGTGCCGTAATACAATACAAATTCGAGTTTAGATTACAATTCATATGTTATGTAACGACGTTGCTTTGACACGAATAAATATAGATGCTACAAAATACGGATAATTCGTAGGACCTTTATGTCCTCGCCGTGATGAACTTGATTTATGACGTCAGAAGCGAGAAAATACAATTGTTATTAAAAATTCATGTGGAATACGTAGGAATAAAAAGATATGTTCACAAAATGATACTTGCAATCGATCGAACAGATGTGTAAAATAGTTCGAACATAATCCTTTAGTTCGGACAATCAATAATCGTGAAATTAACGTGGCAGAACTATGAGAAAAGTTAAAAAGGATGCATGTCACATTAATTTTCCGATTATTGATTGTTAAAAAAATGTTAGGACTGTCTTACACAGTTTCTTGATTTATTGTAAATGTCATTTTATGAATAAATTTTTATTTCTTACGTATTTCGCAGGAATGCGGAGAGAGAATGTTTCTCCTCGTTTCTGTCATTAATTAATAGTCATTAAATAGTCCTAAGGCGAGTAGCCAGAAATATTAATGATAAAATTGAATCAAAATTCACAATAGAAGTTCACTCAATGTATTTAATTACAGTCCGTATTGTTGTATCGTATCATATCTTCTAGTCTATAAATTAAAATCGTAATTTATACTAATAGAAAACAGATGTTAGCTGTAATATATGTGTTATGCGAAAATATATACTGATCTAGCATTTATATTTCAATAGCACCTAAAATATAATTGTAACTTGCAATGTGCATTTTTAATTTTTAATAATAAAGGGATTAAGAAAACCGATAATTAAGGTTTGTATACTTCTTAAAACAAACGAAAGTAGATTTAAAAGATATGCAGTCTGTCCAACGTATATCATTTTACATAGAGTTCGTTACACACATTTGCATATTTGTATATTACTTGCGTTTTTCTTAAGATATGCTTCTCTTTACACTAAACCTCATAATTCATTAATCATCCTCTGAGATTTGCTGTATGTAAATAACATCTCTTCCCCGTGCTCTCGTCTTCTATGTTTCATAATCATAGGCAGATAAATGTAATAGCGTATAATAACCAGTAATTAAAAAATACTGAAGATTTTATAATGTTATTGCACACAGAAGATGAAATGAGGTCTTATTAACTGTAAATTAAGCTTGCACAAATATCGTACTATTCACACATACGATGCGTATTCGACAAAGTATGTATCGTGAATTCCAATAAATGTACACAATAATCTGTACTTATATTCTCTAGAAATATTTTATACACACTTGTCAATACTACTAATATATACGATATTTTCTGAAATAAATTCACGCACGTTTCTTACGAAACAAAACGAAAAAAATACCTCCTAATATGCGTTTCATAAATTTGACATTTTTATTATCTTAACAGAAGAAAAGAAAAAGAACAGCACTTCCGTCGTCTACGTTTGTTAAGGCATAAAAATTAATTACTCTCACTTATCTCTCTCCAGTAAATCTAAATTTAAAATTTAATTCTCGGTGTTAAACATTCCTTAAAAGCTAAACCGGTCGTTAAGGGTTCGCCCGGTAATACCCAAGTTTCCCGATAGGCTGTACATGACTTCGCTGAAGGTGCGATCGTCGACCTCTCCGCTGGAATCCGACGCAGCAGTGTTGTGCGTACGCGAACGAGATCGCGATCTAGATCGCGAACGTGCCCGGCCAAATAATGGTGATCGGCCAACCTGGAATTTTAATTTAACATTGGACACATTTGTGGAATAGCTGATGAATACCTTAACAAAAACATGAGAAAGAAATGAGAGAGAAGAGAGGAGAGAGAGAGGGAGGGAGGGAGAGAGAGAGAGAGAGGGGGGAGAGAGAGAGAGAGAGAGAGAGAGAGAGAGAGAGAGAGAGAGAATATGTGTAATACCATGTTTAATCCTTGTGTGGTTTGTCTATATGGTGATCGTCCTCTAGGTATTTGTCGTGGACTACCGATGGTCGCGGTGTGCCGATTCTGTGCGAGAGTGAGCGGCCGTTGACGCGCAGTAGGTGCATACTCACTTCCTAGCGTGCACATGAAGTTGACGTTTGGACTGGGAGTCAGCAAGGAACTGTAACATTACGATAATTAATATGATAATAAAGGAGTCCCCTAAGGGTTTTCTAAGCTACTGAAAGTTAATTTTTTTTAACGGAAACATCACGACATCCATAGATGTCTCAAAAATACAAGCAATAAAAAAGCAGAACGTTTTGCAGACTAAATTTCGAGCAGCCAAATGGATAATATTATTTTCTTCAATCAATTTCAACTTTACATATTAACAGATTAACTTTACATATTAACAGATGTTTACTTCAGGTTTTAGTTCCAAAGATGTAGAGTTGAATTTAAAAAATTGCCAATAATGATCTTCCTCGACATTTTTAATAAGAAAAAATTGTCTCTAAATTACTTAGAAAAATTCTAAATAAAATTAAAGGTCTGAGAAAACCTGTATATTTCATATGCAGATAATATAGAGTATAATAATATTAATGAATAATAATTTATTAATAAAATGTATTATTATAGACCCTAAAGTAGCCGCCTATAACTAATAATATTATATATTAATATATTAAATTAGAAATTCACGTTACATCAATTTTAAAATTGATTAATAGGATATATTAAAGATAATGTGTAAGTGTATATGGCATATAAATTAAAATTTACTTCATCCTCTGTATTTTTTGCTCATACTGTGCGCGTCTTTGTGCACGTGCGATTTGATCGGATCGCAGTCCACCGGTGGTAAAGCGACGTTGCGACGTTAATATTTGCTGCCTGCGTTCCAGAATCCTCGGTTGCATTGAGAGTAAAGCTTTCCCGGTCTGTGCCATCTGTGTTAAAGAAATTCGCATGTATATCATCAATATCTCACCATTATATTTCAACATCATTTTCTCTGCTTTATGAAACAGATGATCTGATTATTCACAGTTCAACTTTATGCTTAAGATCCTAAAATTCTGAAGCTACATGTCTAATAAAGTAGCTCTTGGAGCATTTGAAAATTGACTAAAAATTAACTAAAAAGCAAAATCAACTAAATTGTTAAGACAAAAATACTAGATATCAAGAATCTCAGATATATAATCAATGAAGAAATAAAAAAGCCAATAAGAGCAAACACAGGATGTTCTTAGTGAAACCTACTCTAAAGTTACTAAGGTTTTCTTTAATTCTCGATTTTAATTTTATTGCAATGATTGATTAGATTTCGCTAATAACATCCTGTATTAACTCTCATCGGTTACTCCTTCATTGATTGTACGATCTTAAGGGGACTGGACTTATAACGTATTCACTTTTCCATTTCGAGTGAAGATATTTACTAGGTGATTTAAGCCTGTATTAATGGTGTTTCAGCTAAAGAATTTAATATAGGCGAGACTTATCTTGAGATGTGATACAATTCAATAGATAGAACTTGAGAGTCAATTTGATATTACATCATATCTGTGATTACAGCTCCAACGAGAAAGTCGAAATCTGTTTATCTATGATATATGAGTCCTTGAGTTTAATTTCGCACAGTTTAATAATCGATTTCTAAAATCCTCTAAGTATGTATCAATATTCTTTCATAAATGGTCATAAATTTTCTTTAGTTAAAAAATCAGTTAAGAAATCAGTTGAGAAATCTTGAAAAATTGTATATTATTTAAATATACACAAGTCCCGGGAGGTGAATTAAGAAGAGATTTTAATTAAAAATAAAGTAGTGAGTATAAATTACACAACTTTTTGTTATAAATATACATAATAAAAAATTTAATTATATAAACTTATATATTTTGTACATTCAAAGTTTTATAATTCAATCTAATTGATTGAATTTATTCTATAGTTTGACGTACAAATTGGATGAAAGATTACGATATTTTTGACAAATTGCCATCTGTTCTCTATTTTCTATAATATTTTTATAATTTAGCATACATTCTATTAAATATTTTTTTCCAAACAATGCATGATTTTTCTTTTTTTGGCTGATATTTTAACTGGCCAAATGTCAAATTAACTTTCAAGATACTATTGAACTGTATCACGTCTCAAGACAACTTTCAGCTGAACAATTCAACTGAAATATCTCGCAACAAATTTCAAGTTACGACTATTAATACTTAAAATGTATGAGTAAAAAAATTACTCGAATTCAAGTAGTTCTACTTTTCACGTGAAAGAGTGCGACCAAGTGCTAATGACTTATTTTATTCAGAAAAAAGTTTTGAATCCAAATTGATCTTATTTCATGGTTTTTTGTGTGCTGATTACAAAAATATACAAGTCCCAAGATAAAAGGATATATCATTCCAGAGAAAATGGCTCGTTTAAAACTGCACCTCACTAGATAGCATTATTTATTTTCACAAATAAGAAGTGAAGCTATGACAATTTACAAGGACAAAATCATCTTCAGTGAGTTGCAGCAATAGTTCCAGATTCCGTGGAGAAGGAGTGACTGAATTGTATCTCAAAAGCGTTCGATGGATTTAGTGAAATTCTCAAGCAGTTGGCACGGCCAAATTGTACTGTTAGCTCGTTGATTACACTTTAAGGTCATCAGTAAGATTAAACGGGAGTTATCAAGAAATAAATTACATTGCAAGTTAACGTTTTTATTAAAATAAATGGCTCCATTTAAAAACGCAATTTTAAATGAGCCATTTTCTCTGTAACGTCACGTCAGTCTACCTTAGAACTTGCATATTCGCAATCAACGTGCCAAAAACTACAAAACAAAGATCATTTGGATTCAAAACTTCTTCCTGAACAAAGTGGGCCGAACTTTGGCCGCACACTTTCGCTCCAAGAAATGAACAGAACATAAGATCGGATTACAAATATACCACCGTTAGGATTTCGGACTCACTCTGAGTTGATTTTGCAAGCTCAGTCTCTGATTCTGTCGTTGCAACAGCAGCTGCTTCGCCCGTTTCACACGGTTGCGATAGGCTATCTGAGCGGGACTCTGGTAGCCCAGCCGATTGTGCACGCAGGTCGGGTCGCGCAGATTCGGGAGGCTACTGGTTCTCTTCAGCAACGGGTTGTTGTTCTTATTGTTGGTGAAGAAGCCGCCTTGGTTGAATGTGAGGTTCGTGCGGCTCCTGCTGCGTGTCAGGCCGAATCTGTTGGCGCCTCTGCTGCGACGCGCATTGAACGCAGCACCGCCGCCGCCGCCGCCGCCTCTGGTGTTGGTGGTCTTCTGATTCAAGCTCAGGTTGCTCCGCGATCTCACGAGGTTCTTCTTGTAGCGGTTCTTCGCGAAGCTGCCGCCAGCACCGCGCACGTTACTGTTGCTCGCGCCGCGCAGCCAAGTCTGTTGCTTCTTCGCGGTGGTCCCGACGTTGCGCTTGACTCTCGCGCTTCCTCTACCTCGGAAGCCAGCTCGGCCGCGCGCACCGTTACCGCGGTTGCGCTTTGCGCCGCCGGCCTTCCCGTTGAGCGCCCCGGCCTTTTTCTTTTTCTCCTTTTTCTCCATCTTTATGATCTCATCTTAAAAGGAAGAAAACGCGCATTGTTTAATGAGAGTGTACGGCACGCCGTGAACGCGCGGCATGCGGTGTTCGGTGGTGGGTGATCTAATCTCTGCAAAACTTTAACTCGATATATTTAAAGACACCGTGTCTTTTCCGACACGACTTCCGAAGCGATTCCCGAACGGGTGGTAGTGCGACTTCCCGAAACACGAACATATATATGTATATTTGCGTTATCGTACGAAATTATACGTCATCACGTCGTAGTCTAGGCCGACTTGAGAAATATCATTGCGTCCGTGATTACGTCGCGCTCCCAACGACGTTTTGCCTATACGAAGATTCTCTTTTAAGCGATACATCGGGTGCGATCCTCTCATGGACGTATCCTCTTATTTTGAGAGTGCATCTTTCGACTCGTTGCTGTGACGAGAACTAATGAGGCACACTTACCACGAAACTAATAATTGGATAATCGTTTGTAAGATCGGATTATCAAAATTCTATGTCCGGACATAGAGCTTTAATTGGTGACAAAAAGCACCATTGAAATGATATTAAATAACATGAAAGTAAAATGTTAAAAGAACATTGAGATAATATATATGAGATTTAATATAATTTTTAAATAATTTTGAATTTATGTTATAATTAACCCTCCGCGTAAAATTGTTTTGGACATATAGTATAATCTGGATCGGGCAACTTTGAATAACCATAATTTCGTTGAAAAACGATATTTTTGGGCATATTTATATTCCACAGAAAATATAGTAAAGCCTCAAAATTACAGGATAGAGCAGCGCGATAAAATCAAAGAACATCTGAGATTTCTTCACGAAACATTGACGTTGCAAAATTTTAGTATTTATTAACTTTTTGTAAGCTACCTTATGACGGTATTTTAAAAATATCAATTTGTTCATCAATCTTGTACTCTCATATTTTTGTCGATAACTGTGCCAAATGGCTTTTATGAGGTCTTCTTTTAATATATGTAAAAACTTCAACTAGAACTTGCCATTTTTTTAGCGAAAACGAAAAATTTTTAATTTATTATTGATAAATGCAAAAATTAATATCTACACGTTTGATACATGATAGAAAATTATGTGGCGCACTATCTTGAATCGGACTTGAATTTCTAAAAGAAACTTCAGGTGCGTATTGTTATTTCAAAGTATAACTAACGGTCGTACTTTTATGTATTCTAGAAACTCTAAAGTTTTCTTTTTTTCAGGTAGCTGTTGCGCGCGTTTCTCACTTACTGGGGTTTTTACAAAAGTTGACGAGCGATCGAATATTCGTTCGAGTCTCACAGTCCCAAAATTGTAGTTACGTTCGGTATTGTAAATTTGAGATACAAGCTGGCAAATGGCGAACTTAATCACCGCCGAGTAAAACGAACATAAAGATAAATTCCAAACAATTCTGAGTTATCACTCATTATACCTTTAACCTCTTAAAGAAAGTTGTAAATTTGAAGATTATAATTGGATTAAAGATAGAGATTCATAGAAAGAATATCTTTTTCAGATGAATATATGATTAATAATTAAAATTATTAAATTCAATTTAATTAATTAAATAACAGAACAAAGATACGACAAATTGCTGGCGTCTAACGGTGAATGAAGATATTATTAAAAAGCGAATGAAGATATTATTTTCTTTTTAAATAACTTAGATTCGTAAAATATATAGAAAGTAAATGCAGTCTATTCCTTCTTGTTTGCATTTACCAGCTGCATTAATATCCTTTTTTCCTCTTTTTTACATTAAATCTCAATTACACTTCTTTCTTTTTAGGTTCCGAAAGTAAACATTAGTTCAGCATAGAAAAATGCATGCATGATAGCATATGAGCGTTTCTAAATGCAGCCATACGTAAGTAAGTTATGTGGAGATAGACAACTTAAATTTTCGCGGGCAAATAAACATGGTCTGGAAGCTCGGCCTCTGAATCCGGAACAGATCAAAGAGCTCGATTTGCTCTGAAAATGTAAATAACGAATGCAGATGTGATGATATGGAACAGATAGGTGTAAACTGGCGGCTGATTTTCGAGGTAAAAAAAAGTAATCTGTCGTCTTCGATTTACAATACCCAACGCAGCTAATACGTGTGTACGCGGAAGATTAAATTTACATTCTTGAATTCATATAATAATTTTAAATTAAATAATTCCGAATATTTCAATAATTTGACAAGATAAAAAAAAATATTTTAATAACACTAAAAAATAATATTAAGTAAAGAAAGTATAATAGAAAACAATTGGAATAAAACAATTATGGATAATGCAAATGAATAATTGAAAAGACATATACATGAGGTATTTAACAAGAAATAATTAAGACTGAAAGAACGTCTCTGACGAATCGGGAAGCAAGAAATTTAGAATGAAATTAAACGAATATCCGTCTTCGCGATTTCGATTGGTAGAAATACTTTCAGAGGATAGTGGCTAACGGACTTAATGTGCAATGATCTCTGCGGTCGCATCCCGGGCCTCCGGCGTTCACTGATCTGCTCCTCACGTCCGACAACAATCACATTGACAATCATCACTTCGAGGTAGTGCGCGACCGCGGCTTATTCGCCACTCTGCTCCTCGCACGGCAAAACCGTCACGCTGTCTCTCTCTCTCTCTCTCTCTCTCTCTCTTTCTCTCACTGTACCCTGATAGAGTCGAGCCGCATCTTCGTCGCAATTAAATCGCCGCCATCTTCTCTCCGTACGTTATTACTGTTTACTTCCTCCAGCGTCGTCGCGCTTCAGAGACCTCCGAAGAAACGCGCGTGCACCCTTGCCATTGGCATCGCCACCCGCAAGAGGTATACTCCTCCCTCGGGAATATCCGTAGGAATGTCGGCGCGCGACACCACCTTGTTTCCCATCCGAATGCTACATCGCGATCAGCCTGCACGCCGGTGGTACTTCTGGGTCTAAGCTTTTTGTCTAACCTCGCTCAGCGAGCATCCCGTGCGGGTTGTTCGGAGAATTCGTCCTGAGCCCTATACTTGCTCGGCTCCAGGAGACGAGATTGAATTCGCACCCGGCCCGGATCTACTTCGGTTATTCGAAATCATCCCTGCGCATCAGCCGGCATCCACATCGAGGAGCTTTCGCTCGCCAAGGACTCGCTCAGCGGTGACACGAGAAGCGTAATCCAGCTATTACACATCGAGCTGGCAGCAGTCGACGGACAAGGTCAAGCTGTGCTGTCCCCTTTTCCCGTATTTGGTGCAGCGCGCCGTCGTCCGCTCGCTCCGGGCGGGAAGAGCGTCATCGCCATCGCGGTGCAACGTCGCGGATAAAAATACAGGCCGTGGCGAGCGATTATGTAAACACCGCTCGTCTCCCACATGCAACGCCGAGACAGAAAGAGAGAGAAAGAGAGAGAAAAAGAGGGAGAACGCGAGGTGATTCTCGTGAGGGAGGAAGGCGCGGCCTTCCCGACTTTCCTCTCCTCTCCTCTTCTCTCTCCTCGGCGTCCCGGGCGACTTTCTCGCGAGCTCATCGTCGGGGGATCCTATTTCGCAACGCGACGACGTGTCATTCCGCTGCCCCTCCTCTCTCTCTCTCTCTCTCTCTCTCTTGCTCTCTCTCTGTGCGTGTATGTGTGTCACGGGGAAACCAGCTGAGTGTACTCAAAGACGGAACGAGAGAGCACGCGTGGGAACCAACTGACCCTCCTTCTCAATCTCGTTGACTCAGCAGTGCGCGAAATTCAACTGTCCCTTTTCTATTTCGTTGACCTGGTTGCGTGAAAACCAACCCGACTCTGCTCTACTTCGCGAACCTGGTCGTGCTGAAAGTTGCCGCAATTTCCCGGCTTGCTCCTGCGACATTTCTCCTAATCACGTCCGTAAGCTATTTAGGAGAACGGCTACATCCTTTGATCGAATTTTCCCACCGATTCCTGTTACTTGAGGAGCTGAACTTGAAATGGTTCTCGTGTTCGAACCGCGGGACTCCCGTCAGTCGTCTTCGCTCGAAACCTCGCTGAACTTCATTTTTGCTGAACGAAGGAAAAGAGATGGCGCAATGGCGCGAGACGCGACTGTCTACGGTGGACGAAAAACTTCCGTCTGGCTCCTCCGTGCTTTTGCCGAATTTCCTGAAGACATGATCCTACACACTCTTATAGAGGATTCACTAGACCCTGTTAGAGACTTCTTCCTTGCTGAACGAAGCGGAAGAAGGCGATCTCACGAATGCGAGAAGTTCCCCCGTGATCCTCCCGGCTTTCCCGTCGACATCGTCTTAGGCGCTCTCATCATTTTTAAATGCCGCTATCCTGCCGAGAACTACGCGAGCGTGATTCCGGTTAATTAAAAGCGAATCTAAGTGGCCGCAGAGGACTCTTCCGTGGCTCCTCGTGGATTGAACTTCGCCGTTGCCTTTTCCCGTGAGCGAGAATTAATCGGGAATGAATCGTCGTGGTCGCGATTATTCGTGAAGAACGACGAGCAGTTCCTGCCTTATCGTGCTCTACTCGAATTTCCTTTTCTTCCTGGTTCCCCCCTCTTTCTCTCTCTTTCTCGAGTAAGTCCAACACGAACGTAATGTAGTCGTAGGTAACGCAACACAGCACAATTAGAAATAATTACAAGTTAACGGGCAATGGCGTGTGAAGCGAAGTTCGGCCGAAGCAGTTTTCACCCCCTCTCCTTTCCTTTCTCGCCTCTTTCCTTTTTTTTCCTAATGACGTTAGAAATATCTCCTTCTCTCACGTACACACTTACTCACACAACGTACCGATCGATCGCGCTCGAATCGCAGGAAAGGGTTATGTCGCCATAGTCGTTCGGCATGATGCTCTTTTCTCGTGTAGTGTCTGCCTCTGGTTGCCTACGAAGGGGAACGACGGCAAACCCTCGTGCGGATAGATTACGAATGCAAACGAAAACGAATGCGAACACTACGCGTGCACGCACGAACGCAGGCACAAATGTGCAGGTAGCGCGCACGCCATTTTGTCGTCGGTCGTATCAATAAGGGGACAATGTGCGGGCCGTACGCTCGATGCCCGGGGCTTTCTCTTACTGGCAAAGCTGTTAGACTGTTGGGAAGGACACTGGCCACTTACCGAGCGACATGTTCACTTTTGCATCAATCTCAGCCATTTTTGCGGTCTTTATCTCGCTCTGTTTTTCTGTTTTCTCTCTGACTATATTTCTTTCTCTCTTTCTCTCTCTCTCTCTCTCTCTCTCTCTCGTTGCTTCGATCTATTATTGTCGTGGATGTCTCACGTGTCGCATGAAATGCGTATCGTGTGGATTTAATTCGAGACTTCTTGTTTTCAAGTTAAGATGAGCCTGTTTCACGTCCTAAATACACACGCGCGAAGTCGCGACGAACTGAACAAGCGAAATACGCCGAAAGAATACAGACACATCTAACAACACAGACTGTCAAGGATAAACTGATGCAACGATGGACGGCTGCTGTTTTCGAGTTCCGAGTCTCCGCTACGAGGCGCTAGTGAGTTTCACTAAAAGTAGAGGTCGGCACTGGTCAGTACTCGCAGTAAAGGCCGTGGCACACAGAAAAACTGGGTGTATATCAGTTGGACACGGGGCAATTGGACACAGTCCAATCACAAGTCGCTGTTCCAAGGGACTCTACAAATGTCTCTAATCATACGGTGCTGTGATTGGCTGTGTCCAAATGCACCGTGTCCAAGTGCACCGCTCCCGAAAAACTTAAGCAGTAAGCAAATTGATCAATCACAATTGTTGATTCTTGGATGTAAGAAGAATCAATGACTGTGATTGGTCAATTTGCTTACTGTTTACGTTTTACTGCTTAAGTTTTTCTGTGTGCCACCAGCTTAAAGGGACGTCTACGGTTGCGTTTCGAAATTCACTGCGAGTACTGAAAATCTATAATTCATGTCACGTATACTATAGAATTTCAGTACTGACAGTGAATTTCGGAACGCAGCCTACATTGGAAGTAAATAGCAAGAAGTAGGAAGTAAGAGTAACCTAACCAATCACAGTCGATTATTCTCCTTAAATTTGACTGTGATTGGTCAATTTCTTAAGGCTTAAAGCTTGTTACACCTATTGTCGATCGTGACTTAAGGAACGCACTCTAGGCTGCTTGCAACTAATGTAGAACGACCTTAATGAAAATCGAGCGTGTGAGCAAAGTATTAAAGTTTGAAAATTATGTGCTATTGTTAAATTAACAAAAAGTATACCAATTTCGGTTACAGCATAATGTCAACACGATGGTAAGTCACAATGATGCATCTTAACATATGAAACTCGAAAAAAACAATAAATAACTCAGTCTAACCTCAATTCATTAATAAAAAAGTTATGTAAATTCTGTTTTTGAGCTATTATTATTAATTTTTTTCATTTTAAGTATATTTTCATTTTGTTTAAATTATAAGTTTTAAAAGTCGCTTGAGTATATGCATTAATGAAAATGTCAGTTGCATTCAGACAAATTTGAAGTTGTATATAATTTGATATAGGTATCCGTTGTACCAGAAAGGTAATCCACAATTGAGAGTATTTTTGCCCAATTTCTGGATGAAATTGATTGCTCCCGAAAGAAAGCAGCCACCAAATGTAGTTCAGTTCTATTGTTCGATGGAAATGACTATATATGATATAAGAAATTATCTGGAAAAGATTTATAATGTCAAAGTTATGCATGTAAAAACTAGAATAGCGCTTGGAAAAACCAAAGAGGATAACAGGCAATGGAATGCTATCATTAAAGAAGACGACAGGAAATTAGCCTATGTTATACTAGTATGTTTATCAATTATATCTAAATGACTACTTTAAAAACAAGTTTAGACTTTACTTTTAATCAATTATTTAAAAACAAGTTTAGACTTTACTTTTAATCAATTATTTAAAAACAAGTTTAGACTTTACTTTTAATCAATTATTTTGTCCTTTCAGCCAAAGGATCAGAAGTTTGAATTCCCTCAGTTATTCAAGGAAGATTCGAGTGAGACGGAAGAAAAGAATATAAATGAAGCTAAAAAAGACTTGCAAAACTTTATAGACCAGAGCAAGGCACCTGATATGCCTGGTTGGTTCAGAATTTAATGTATATTGTAAAATATTTAAAGATTTATATATATAAATAATGTATTTGTTAATATCCCTTTTCTGAAAAAAATACCTAATCTAAATTTTTGCATTAATTTTAAGAATTTCTAATCGTTTCTTGTTGGAGCGGACCATATTAATGTAAAATTTTAACGAATATGCGATATTGTTTTATATTAATAACGAGATTATATACTGATTTCATATATTTGCCATTTAATAAATTACCACGACTAAAGCTGGTGGTACATAGAAAAACTTAAGCAGTAAGCAAATCAGCCAATCATAGTCGTTGATTCTTGGACCGTAAAAAGAATCAACGACTGTTGTATTGCTTACGTCTTACTGCTTAAATTTTTCTGTGTGCCACGGCCTTAAAGCGTCTTCTACAATGGCAGTAGGAGTAGTAGTAAGAAATAAGCAGTAAGTAAATAGACCAATCACAATCGATTATTTTTGAAACGTGAGAATGGAATTGGTCAATTTGCTTACTGCTTATTTCTTACTACTACTCCTACTGCCATTGTAGAAGACGCTTAAGGGCCGTGGCAGAAAAACTTCAGCAGTAAGACGTAAGAAGTAAGCAAATTGACTAATCACAGTTGTTGATTTTTGAACCGTAAGAAGAATCAATGACTGTGATTGGTCAATTTGCTTACTGCTTACGTCTTACTGCTTAAGTTTTTCTATGTGCCACCAACTTAAACTGGAGTTTCGTTTTAATTACATGACTCTCGAATTCGAAATCGATCTCGATTAGCGATTATATCGATCAAACATTTCCTTCCTTTAGTATCTGGTTATAGAGATTTTCAAAAGAGATTCTCCCAACACTACTTCAAGTCAATATAAGAATAAAGATTAATATGGAATCAACAAGGTTGTTTGAAATAATTTTAATCAGAAATAAAGCCAAGGAAGATTCCAAACACGTTCGAACGTGTTCAAACACGTCGTAATGGCTGTTAAGGCTGCGTTCCTTTTGGGCGCTCACGCGTTTTAAGCGCTTATAAGCGTCACTTTATTTTTCTTCCGAATCTTCCGAATCTAATGGCTCCTGCACACAGGACGCGGTAATACTTGCCGCGCGGCGGAAGTTCGCGCGACAGCCAATTAATATGCTGCTTTCCGTAATAACCTTCTAGCTCCTACGGAAAAACAACATATTGATTGGCTGTCGCGCGGACTTCCGCTGCGCGGCAAGCATTACCGCGTCCTGTGTGCAGGAACCATAATGCGATAAAGATAGAATGGCGTTACAGCGCGTGAGCCCAAAAGGAACACAGCCTAAAGGGACGTCTACATTGGAAGTAAGCAGTAAGAAGTAGGAAGTAAAAATAAGAAATTGACCAATCATAGATGATTATTCTTCTCACATTCGACTGTGGTTGGTCAATTTCTTACTCTTACTTCCTACTTCTTGCTATTTACTTCCAATGTAGACGTCCCTTAAAACATATGGGTTGCGTCAGCTATGATTTGAAAACATTTTCAATTGGCGCCATATCAATCAAACATACGACTTGAAAACATTCTCGATTAGCTATTGTATCGACCAAACAAATCATTCGAGAACATGGCGTCGAATACGACCGCGGAAAGCAAACGGACAGCGAATCCAAATCCTTGTGCGATTTATGGCAGGTAAGCTAACAAACTTGCAACAATTTTGCTGTTTGAAACAATTAGGAGCTTTTCTCTTTGAATGTTACTTGCTCTGCTACTTTTGAGCTTTTTGACTTCGTGTACTCTGTAAATTCAGTTAGTTCTCAGTAAGTTTCATAAAGCATTTTTCAAAAAATTAGATTTATTAATTATAAATAGACTCTCTCTTCTCTCTCGTGTACGTGATTATAATATTTCAGCGTCCTTAATTGCCGACATTCGATTCGATCTATAAAATTGACAAAACCTATGTTTTGTCCTCCTCCGATTGTTTCAAGCAACGTATTAACGTTCCTTGATTCGCGCAGCATTCAAAAAATTCGAATGACGACAGAGTACCATCGATCGGGATGGATCGGACGAAGATTACATTTTGCACGGACGTGGACAAATCCGTGATCGTACACAATTTCGAGAAACGTGGCTGGACGCAAGTAGGTCCGGAGGACGATTGGAACTTCTATTGGTAATGAAATCTCGATTGTCATCGCTCTGTTGCGTGTGGAATGTCGATATCGTATTTGTCATATATCCAGTGAACAATCGACATTTCACATTCACGAATTCAGTCTACACGGAGAAAATATTATGGTGAAAATCACGTTAAAATTATATTTCTTTTCCTAATGTACTTTTTGTAAAGAGAGAACTGGACTGTACGCACACAGCAGAACTGTCCCGAATATATCATAGGGATATCCTACAGATATTGAAATATTTTTATAATATCTCTATGATTGAAATATTTTATAATATCTCTATTCGGGACATTTCTGCTGTGTGAGTACTGCAATTATATATAAATTATTATGAAAACAATACATTTGGCGATCTGCTCTGATATATGACATAAAGTAAGTTTAAGTAATTACAATAAATTTGCAGTAAAAAGCCAAATATGTATAACGTTTTTAAACAGCAAATAGTAATTTCAATTTTAATTCTGTATAACCCAACCCAGATAGCAATTCAAAAGATAGAGAATTCAAAAAGGATTCAAGAGAATTTAGTCATATGTTACCAATTCTGAGTCCGTATTCAGATGCAAAAAGAATTCTTCAAAGTTCAGTTTAGTGAAAAGAATTCTTTTTGCATCTAAAAATAAACTCAGAATTGGTGATATACGACTGAATTCTTTGTAAATTCTCTGTTTCTTCTATTTGCTTTTACTAAAATTTTATTGTAATTTTTATTAGTGTATTTTCTTTGTATACACATTTATTATAATGTTAGATTCGCTACAGGGCCGCTACACAGTCCTGTAGAAATATCTTCAGCATTGAAACCGGATATAGGATGGACGACAATCAGTAAGACATATAATTCTATTATTATTATTCTATTAATTCTATTACTAATAATAAAAATAAAATCAAGAAGTGATGGATGTTTCAGAAACGCTTCAAAAAAGATATTCGAGAGATTTTGTAAAAATATGCTTCGCGACTGTTTCAGAATTATCAATCACTTTCCAAACCATTATGAGCTCACACGGAAAGATCTGCTGGTGAAAAATATAAAACGATATCGGAAGGACTTGGAGCGCGAAGGAAATCCTCTAGCAGAGCGCGCGGATGGCCCAGGGAAATATTTGTACCTCGACTTCATACCGGTTACCTTCGTTTTACCCGCAGGTGAAGTATTCTCTACTTAACAGCCGTTGCAATTTTTTTGGCTCTCGTGCATCTCTTGGAGTCGTTCATTTTTTGGAATACAAAACTAAATGCAGTAAACTTAATCCATACAGCACAAATCTTCAAAAGACGTTCTAAGGACATTCATAAAAACATCCTAGAATATTCTCTAAAGATTTTGTGCTATCTGTCTAATTTTTAAAATTATCTAATTTTTAATTCTCCGGATTATTACCGATTAATATCTTCTTCATATTACGACGTTTAGATTACAACATGTTCGTGGAGGAGTATCGCAAGTCTCCGCAGAGCACGTGGATAATGAAGCCGTGTGGAAAATCACAGGGCGCCGGGATATTCCTCATCAATAAGCTGAGCAAACTGAAAAAGTGGTCGCGCGAAGCAAAGACCCCCTTCAATCCGAACTTGACAAAGGATTCGTACGTTATATCCAGGTATACGATTTCAAGAAGATTTCAATGTAATTCACAATGGTTGTCCGATAATCCTGCTTCATATGGTTTCCCTTTAACGATTTCTCGCGACAGATACATCGACAATCCTCTGTTAATCGGTAGTAAGAAGTTCGATTTACGGTTATACGTTCTCATCACATCTTTCCGGCCGCTCAAAGCGTATCTCTTCAAGCTAGGATTTTGTCGTTTCTGTACCGTCAAGTACGACACCAGCGTACAAGAGCTCGATAATATGTATGTGCATCTCACGAACGTGTCTGTGCAAAAGCATGGCGTACGTATATTCTATACATTTGTCACGTTATACTGAATAATTGCTTTGCATAAATATATTTTTCGATTTCATGAGCTTCACAGTTATAAATTCTTCAAAGTTATGGAATCGCGTGGCTTCCAACTGAATTCTTGTCGCCCTCGTAGGAATAATTTCATGAAGTCGGAAAGTACCTCCAGCAGTTTCACGATCGAAACCATAAACTGCGGAAATTTCAGGACGAATATAACAGCAAACACGGCGGCAAACTAAGCGTGCAGAACCTGCGTTTATACCTGGAGAGCACGCGTGGCAAAGCGGTCACCGAGAAACTGTTCGCGAACATTTCATGGTGCATAGTACACTCGCTGAAAGCGGTAGCGCCGGTGATGGCAAATGATCGGCACTGTTTCGAGTGTTACGGATACGATATTATTATCGACAACAAGTTGAAACCATGGCTGATAGAAGTGTGTCACTTTTATTTACGTCAATCTTGCCATTCCGTTCGGATCTGTTGGACTTATTTTCATATTTCAATAAAAATCATTTTTTATCATATATCACCATGATTCTAAGTCACTTTGACTAAAAAGATTTTGGACAAAAGCTTCCTAGTTTCAGAGAAATACAATTAACAGATCTTTTCATAGTATGACTTTTTTCAGAAAATCTTAAAATATTGCCAGTTTTCTTTCTTCTATTTTTAAACTTGACGAACGGTGCATAGCAAGGTTGAAATAATATGTTAAAATTGCTAACGTCTAAGAATAAATTGTACTTAAATTTCCAGGTGAACGCTTCACCATCTCTGACGTCTACTACAGTGAACGATAGGATCTTAAAATATAAACTAATCGACAATATTGTGTCGGTCGTTCTACCTCCAGACGGTATGCCTGAGTAAGTAGACGATATTTGACTAAACTCGAGTGAGCTTACGAGATTCAACAATGATTTGTTCAATCAGTGTGAAGTGGAACAAATCACCTTCCCCGGAAGCTCTGGGAAATTTCGAGTTGCTTCTAGACGAAGAATTGGCGGCACAGGATGAGAGAGAGGGTTCATCGTGCAAATATCGCGGTTCTTTCAACAAGTGGAAGTAAATCCTTGTCTCTGCATTATTGTCTGATATGATTTTCCATCGAATTGCTGCAAAATTTTGCGAACTTTTGTATATATTATATTATAATATATAATTAATATAATTAATTATATTATATATTATATTAATTATATTATATATTATATTAATTATATTAATATAACTAATATAATTGTATGTATTTTTTGTTTCCTTAGCATTTTGACGTCTTATAATTTATCCGAAACTTTATTATTACCACGTATTAGCTAAAATCACACAATATTATTTTTAATCCTATAACCTTAGCATGTAACCGTAACATATTATCGGGATTGTTGAGTTAAGGAGTTAAGGGAGAATTGCTCAAAGAAATTTATTAACAACAATTTTTATTCGCTGTACAAATATTCTACAGACGTAAGACAACGTACGCCAGCTGTAAAGATGTAAAAATAATATAGACGGCAATTTCAGTCTTTTATGTGAAACAAGAATAATAATTTATTGATACGTTTACTCTCCTCAAGGCTGTTCAAAATGGCAGTGCGAGGTAAAAGTCCTTGCAATTCGTATATTTTGTACAAGCGTAGCCAGCGTTGGGCAAACTGTATTCGCGAATGATGGATTATTCAGAATACAATGGAATAATTTAGAAAAATATAGACTAAACTTTCATAGTCTATGTTTGTAAATATATTTTATGTATTCTCACGATATATACGTTTTGTTTTACACGTATATTTTATATATAAAATGTTTTATATATAAATATGTCGCATTATATATTGATACATCATACATATATATTTTATATAATTTATATATATATATATATATATATATATATATATATATATATATATATATATATAAAATCTAGCACTATGCTAGATATATTTGCAAACACATTCGAAATCTTCATATGTTATTCGCGAATATATTTTGCTCAACAAAGCTGGCAAGTATACAATATTACGTGTATAGTTGGACTATCGAGTATAATTATGGCACAGTTTCCTGAAACTGACATTAGACTTACAGGAACAGACGTGTGCATTAAAGATATAACGCTATTGTTGTATTAACATGATATGTACATTGCACAGTGCGCCTAAATTACAAACGTAAAAGTGTACAATGTATGCTACAAGTTGCAATTACTGTTAAATTTCTGAAAAAAAATTCCCAGTTTCCTCTTTATTTCGTATCATTACGTTTAGTTTAGTGCTCGTCCAGAGTATATCTATTTGCGTAGGCGTATGATATGTCATCAAATTCGTAAAAACGTACAGCGGAATAACAAAATGGCAATTTGTTCGAATAGCATATTAACGTGAAAAAAAAACAGTAAGTGTAGTGAAACTTTGGAAGTCATTTTTTCGTATCGTACTCAAGTTATTGGAAAACTTACAGATAAACTAGATTCTACGCCTAGAATAAAAAATCAAAAATCCTATTGTATAATATGATTAATAAAATATATGCTGCAGCCTTTGATTAACTGCCAGATCAATTAAGAAAGATGACATGTACATATTATTAACGATAACATAATCATGTTATTACCGATAATTACCGATGATATACTTTGAAATCGCAATGAATAATTAAAATAAAACTACAGATAAATGGTTGTATAAAGTATTTGCAACTTAAAATGAACTTCTCTCTTTCAAGCTATAGTCATGTACATTTTTTACAGAACAGTATTTTGCAATTTCATGGAAATTACACGTTCATGGTAAATATTTACAAGATCTACCGTGATAGGAGAATCTTTTCTCTGTACATTAAAAACTATTCAAATGCAAATAGCAGGCACGATGGTATGATTATTATTATACAGGGTGATCCGTTATATATTGATGATACTGTACGGTAAAATAAGAATTATATAAAGCACTTATAAAAAAAGGCTGAACAAATTAATTTTTACGTAAATTTTGGTTCCTAAGAATGTCGAATTTTAAAATTAAAAAATTAATACCTGACAGCACTTTTAAAAAGATATAAGTAAAAATATGTATAAGTGGATAAGAAATTAGGCGAATTTAGAAAAAAAAACAAGAAATGTTAATTTTACCTATTTTCAAATGTTGCATTCTACGCATTTGACTTTTTCTTATAGAGTTATACTTTTGCACACTAGCAATAACGGACTACCATATAGGTAACTTGCATCAATAAAGTTTCTTCTATCAGTCTAAAAGTTGTCACTCATTACATTTGAAACAATTTAATCCATTAAAGGCCACAATCCTCTACCCACAATACTAAAAAGAAAATGCATTATATATATATAGAGATCAAACTATAATCTTAAAAAATAAAATTAAAATTGTTAGTAATCCAAGATTATATTTTCTAAAGATTAATATTTTTCCCACACAAATTAATATATTTTGATTATTCATTTTCTATTACTTTTATTTTCTAAAATCTAATAAGTTTAGAAACTAAATAGTTAATACAAATTTTAGAGAAATGTTATACACACATACTCATTATTATTATTTCTTACTTTTAATAAAATATTTAGATTTTAATAGCGGAGAGTGAACCGTTAATGGATTAATGATGGATATAAAAAGATCTGACAGACTTAACAAACTGTAAAACAGTTTTTACGCAAATTATTGCCGCTTGAGTATTCGCATTTCGACAAGAGGACTCCTCAAATCATCATTGTATCTTCAGCCATTGTCTATCAAAGCGATCAGATATGTTTGTCAAATTTTCTGTCACACAATGGTCAATTTAACACCCGCGATCCGTTAAAGGACCACAGCAACAACAGTGGTGGTATTGGTGACAAGGGGTCGAAGCACTATTCATATTTTGTGCAAACTTAGGCCATCGTAAATTAATATCAAATACAATTTTCGTTAATTCTGGGAAGTAAAATTCCTCCGAAGTTATCGGTTTGACTTTGAGTTCACAAAGCAACTTGTGAACCACGGAACTCGGTAAATAGCGAGTATACGATACTTGCATCCCCGATCGACCCCCGTCGATGCCATCACGAATAAAAAACAACCACTTTTATTTCGAGCGATTGCCGAATTGTACGAGAAGCACGTCCTCTAACGGGAACGTAAATGCGGACGGAGAAATCGAATGCAGTTTCATAAGTGTAGGGCGTATACGATTTTTACCGGCACGTGGCTTGAAAGAAGAACAGCGTTGAACAGTGTTCGCTGAGTAGTCGCGGTATCATAGACTGCGAAGCCGCCAACCTTTGTCATATGCCGCGAGCCTTTGCCGCGCGCCGCGAGTCCTTTACTGCACGCCGCGAGTCCTTTACTGCACGCCGCAAGTCTTCAGCGATTTCCTCCAAAAGGGGCGTCAACTCGCGCTTTTTGAGTGAACGCTGTAAGCAGAGCAGAGACAGAGCGTGTTGAGTGGTTAGAGAGAACACATGTCCTGTGAAAATATAGGTTGCTTTCCAACAAGAGACACAAGTCGACACAAGTATCATCCTATCTTTGTTACTCACTAAATGTGGAACAAAGATAGAATGATGTTTGTGTCGACTTGTGTCTCTTGTTGGAAAGCAACTATAGAATACTGAAGAAAGTTAGTGTGTACTTTATTTATTTCTCCGTAAGCTCCCCATCTCACATAAGTAAACGCATTTGAGAAATCAGTGTGTGTATACTTCGTATCAGGAAAGAGATGCACCGATAAATGCTTGATGATGACAAGTGGTTAGAGAAGCGCGCCCTCGTCGCATAATCTGTTCAATACAAAATTTCTTCTGCACAAAAGAATGGGGTGAAGATAATGGCGAACTTCCCCAACATGAATAAGATTAAGACACACCTGGCTATCCTTAAAGCGGAACTTAAGGTTATTGAGAATCTCAAAACAAACCTGCGTATGATTATACACGGTATAATCCTGTAGGACTGTCAACCAGCGAAATCGAAGAAGAGCTTAAGGCACAGAGCCTTGAGGAGATTGAGAGATCTTAAGCTCATATATCAATATTCAGAGAGAGACAAGCGAACTACTAGCTGTATAATAGAAGTTTCACCACAGGTTCAAAATGTACTGCAGAATCGCATCTATTTGAGGTTCTCAGCGTGCACTTTCGCCGATTATATTCGGGTCTTGCAGTGCTACAAATGTCTTGCGTTTGGCCACAGAGCCAGCAGTTGTGCGACGACCCCCTATTGCGGGAATTACGCTGGTGCGCATGAGATAAGGGATTGTGAGGCATGCAAGCGATTAACCTAAATTTGCTGCCTGATATTATAGTGGACGGCCCTAGGATACAATTCTCGGATAAAGTGCGCTAGCTCGGTATCATATTGACCAGATCACCAATATATGCAATAAAATCAGTACCACTTTATATCAACTTAGGATTAGTAGTCACTTACTCACTCCGGAACTGAAAAGAAAATTGTTTCAAACTCTTGTTTATCCGCACCTTGACTATTGCTGTTGCACACTGACGGATATTATTGGGGCGCAGGATCTAAGATTGTGTCGAGTCTTCAACGCTTTACCAATTTATCTTCGGCATAAGAAAGGACGTACACATCACTCCTTACTACCCTAATAGCACAAATCTTCCAGGAACATTCTAAAGACGTTCAGAGGACATTCTATATACATAATATCCTAAGAACGTCCATAAGATATCCATAGAATATCGTGTGTTATCTGGGTATGGAGTGTTGAAATGGTTGAGGCCAGGGTTGAGAAGGAAGTATCTCGTCTGCTGCTTGACATACAGCATTATCCAGAACAAGAAACCTGAGCATTTGTCAGCTGTTCTCTGCCACAGAGACTCTGGCTCTCTTAAGACCACCAGAGCTGCACTTGAGGTGCGTTCCTTTAATTACTGCGAGTACTGACGCTATAACGTCATGAAAGTATACTGCTAGTAGCGTTCCGTTTCGACTTTGAGCAATGTCGAGATGTTGCAAGATGACAAATGGGAACGCACCACTTTACTGCCACTGCCTTACCTTTCCAGCTGTAGTAGCAGCAGCAGGAAGTGACATCCAAATTCATGACGTCACAAACTCGTCAAAATGCTTTCGCAGTGCACTGTAACCTATTTTGGAACGCTGTTGGTAGTATTGACAATAAATAACGGAACGCAGCCCTGATCTTCTTGTGATGCCACAGACGCAGACGGAAAAGTATACTAAATCATATTCTAAATCACAGGGACTGCGACTAGACTTTGGAATTCGATTCCTGCCAGCATCAAGTCTGCTAACTCTCTGGGTGCCTTCAAAGCAAAACTCTACAATTTTTTGTTGCAGGACGCACACTGAACAATTATATATTTACTGCCTTATTAGGCGCTTTGGAAAACACGATATCTCTGTTGCTGCTGGCGATCCACCCGCGAGTCGAAGAACTGTAATCTGATTATATATGGTGCTTTTGTAGGGGGCCTAGCAATTTCCTATCTTAAAAAATTACTCATGATTGGTCACACATATCTAATAACTACTATTATAATTGTGTTATCCCTAATTTAACTTTTTTGTATATTACCACACTTACAACTCTGTATTTTAGCACTTGAGAGGATTACGTCCTAGGGCGCTCTATAAAACCCTATGCTCAAAAAGTAATTTCTCATTTAAAAGACGCGCGTTAATGGTATCTCAACTGTTTGTTTTTCGCAAAGTTGATGCAACTGTCCTTGACATTGAGGCTGAGTTAGAGCGTGTTGTCATATTTTTTACATTTATAGCATGTTCGACTGACTCTGGGTTAACCCACTCTGGGTTATTCAGTCTACGTTTATTGGTCGAACAAGTACTTATAAGCTTTATGATTGGCTAGTAGAGATTTATGACGTCATTAATCGCTCTCGGAGCGATTAACCCAGGGTCAGTCGAACACGCTATTAGTTTGTTTACGGCAACTGTTGATATCAGTGTATCTTAGGTGCGTTCGTCGGATTTTATGAAAAAAACTGTTGAGCAAAGAATGTGTTTGAAATTTTGTCAATAAAGAGTATTATCTTGGCTGCGTTTGGGGAGATGCTATTTAGCGCTATGAATGTGCTCTATCCTTGTTTGTTCCTGAAAGTTGAACAAAGACAGAGGACGGTCATAGCGCTAAATAGCGTCTCCCCGAACGCAGCTCTTGAGTTATGAGGCGTTTGCTATCCGTCGCAAACGGCCAGATTTGTGGAAGGAAAATGTGTAAATTTTGCATCATGATAACGCGCCGTCGCACATATCATCTCTTGTACGCAACTTTTTGACCAAACACGCAACAATCGTCCATGCACCGTATAACTTCTTTCTGTTTCCTCAAAGAACTCAAATTGCCACTACGGGGAAAGTCGACTGATTCCATAAAAGAAAATTCGACGAAGGAGCTAAAATAACCTATTATTAGGGGAGTATTAGTGGCGCTTGATCAGTGCTCTTTTCGCGGTCGTTTTCGAGATACTATTTTGCGTATAAGGGAGAATGTCCTGAGAGGTCGCAAAACGGGACACCGACTGTCCTTTTTGTGGATTCCTGGTCACATCGATCTGCTGGGCAACGATATTGCTGACTATCTCGCTGGGTCAGCGCACTACCCGCCTCCGAATTTACAAGTTGTACATGAAGGAGAATGCTATTTTTACAATATTCATCGCTACTTGTACAATGAAGCTGCTCCGATATCTAGCAAATTGTTGGAAGAGGACTCACGCTTCAAAGGATTCCGCTATTACAACAAAACGAGAAACAAATCGCTCGCTAATCCACTTTGGAATACTAGCAGCTACCAAAGGAAAGCCATTATTACACTCAATCGTATTAGGACCTTTCATACTAGAACTAGAGACCATATTCCATCTGGGAATAATGGGCGACTCTCGCTATGAATGCAGGCTCGCCTCCAAATCTGTAAAGCACCTTTTAATGGACTGTCTGATCTATGTACGCGCGCAGGACAACATGAGACTTAATTTCGCAAAATTAGGTCTTTGATTTTTATGAGTGTTTTCGCCTGAAGAGGAGATTTTAAACATCTTGATGGATTTCATCAATTCAACTAGTTTATACATTTAAACCAATCGCTTACAGTTATGTGACTACAAACTATTACAGATATCGCCGCAGATGGCGTTGGGCTTGGCCCGGAGCCATAAAATGGAATGGAATGACTCACCTCAAGGCACCGGCGACGGCGGTGGCGGTAACGGACTGAAGTACGTCGACGATCTGGAACTGGGCGACGGTGGGCAACTAATCGCCGCGTCGCTGTGGTAAACGGAACGCGGTGTCGGCGGTGGTGGAAACGGCTCGCTTTCGTAACGATAGCGTGCCGGATAGTTACTGTCCGACTCGTCGCAGACGTCGGTGCTGCAGGGAGTCGGGGGCGGTGGCTGATTGATACTCCGATAATGCCGATATGGTTTATAACGGGAGGCATTGCTGCTCGAGCAACGTGTAGAGCTGGCGATCGTCGCCGGACTCGGTGGTGGGTTCAGCGTTTCCTGAGGATAACCACCAGCGGAACTGCCTCTGGTCGAACTTGACGCACCTGAAAACACACGTAGTGTTCCCTTTAATGTCCGAATTTAAAGAGCTTTGTTCCTAGGGTTCCTAGCTTTATTCTTGTATCACTTTGATCTTATATTTGTTAGCTTTAATCTCCATTAGCTTCAGTCTTACATTTATTACACTTACTTTTATGGGCTTTCTACAATAAGCCATTAGTCGTATAACGCATAACACAAAAAGCATAAGAAAATTCACTAATTGCAGTCCTTCAGAATAAAAATGAAGAATTCTGATTGGTGGATTCTCTTACGCCTTATGCGTTATGTGTTACGACTAATAGCTTATTGTAGAAAACGCATTAGCCTTAGCAACTTCTAAATTTGTTTTTATTTTAAAGATTCTTTTGAGACACACCTGTGATATGACTGCGGTCATAACTAGACCCAAGGCTACTTCCGTTGAGCATAGACATCCTCACAGCGTCCATGCCTGCTTTAAGATCCTTCCTGTTGTTCTTGTGTGCAAACATCGGCTTAACTACTCTGTTCGGTTTTGGAGACAGCGGGTCACCCGCTGAATCGTGCAGGATATCAGGTAAACCTTCGTTTCCAGTAAATTTTCTACGGCAGTAGTAATAGCTCAAGATTGTCACACTAGTCAGAACTACACCCACCAAGGTGATGATGACATAAGTCACTTTGGTGGACTCGACTGGTGGCACATTCTCTTGTCGATGACGCGCGGCCTCGCAAGTCTGCGATAACTCGTCACTACCGTCACTACAATCATCCCAACCGTCACAGAGAACTGCCATGGATACGCACACACTGCCTGTGACGCATTGGAATTGATCTGCGCGACAACATCGGGATTCATCCGATCCGTCGTGGCATTGCGGTGTTCCATCGCACACCAAACTCTTATCTGAGAAGTGCACAATAATAAAATTAATACAAAATAATAACAAGAACAATAATAATCTTGTAAAAAGTAAACCATAGAATAAATGAATATATCGGATATACGAAGAGAAAGAAAGCACGCAAAAAGGCGAATAGACAAATAGAAAATGCTTCTACAGAACTCAACGCAAAATCTATATTTGTAGAAAGAAAGCACGCAAAAAGGCGAATAGACAAATAAAAAATGCTTCTACAGAACTCAACGCGAAATCTATATTTGTAGAAAGAAAGCACGCAAAAAGGCGAATAGACAAATAAAAAATGCTTCTACAGAACTCAACGCGAAATCTATATTTGTAGAAAGAAAGCACGCAAAAAGGCGAATAGACAAATAAAAAATGCTTCTACAGAACTCAACGCGAAATCTATATTTGTAGAAAGAAAGCACGCAAAAAGGCGAATAGACAAATAGAAAATGCTTCTACAGAACTCAACACGAAATCTATATTTGTATAATTGTAATATTACAAGACGTAAGACATGGACACAACATCATAGTGAGAGCAAAGAAAATACTTTTCGTAGAATTCGATCAAGAAGAATTTACCGCAAAGTAGAAGTTAAACGAATCAATAATTTTTCTTCCAAATATCTTCAAGGCCAGTTCTAAAAAGACAGTCTCGAAAGATACGCGTTTAAGGTTGCGCGCTTTGAAAATATTTCACAAGTTCTCCTTTTCGTCAATTTTCAACCGACCTTTAAACAATTTTCCAAAACTACATAATCTTTCAGAAAAAATTTTCTTCTTAATTTCGACCGTAGTGTTCTATCTTAAAGAAGACTTAAAGTTACATACCGATACAAAGATTGCCGCATTTGTGATGACGATCGCGACTGCAAGCCGCGGGGCAGCCAAGCTCGTCGCTGCCGTCCAGACAATCTGTTTGGCCGTCGCATTTCCAGGTGGCAGGTATGCAATCCTTACCCACCGCTGTGCTCGGTGCGGTGCAGGTGAAGTGATCGTTGCCACAAGCCGGCGCCGCTCGACAAGTACGACCGTCCTCGGACAGCACCAGTGAGCGCGGACAAGAGCAGCGCGGCGAAGTAGTACCGATGCAGAAGTGCGAGCAATCGCCGTAATGGTTGAAGGGGCTGCAAACGTGCGCCTCCATATTATTCGGCACACTAACGGTCATGAGGTCAATAACGAGCATACGGTTCATGACCGTTCGCTTGCCGAAGCCGGACGACTTGTTGACTCTTTCGAGCGTTTGAGTTTCGCGATCGAACCAGTAAAGGTGGTCCAGAAACACGGACATATGCGCGATCAAACCTGACGACGCGACTGTCACTAAAGTCCTTCGATTTTTGCCCATGAAGTCGGCGCACTCAATCAACTTGCCATGCGCCCAATACACGACGTTCGCTTCGGTGTCGACGGTCAGGCCGGTCGGTTGTTCCAAGTCTGCAGCGATCACCACGCGCTCCTTGCCGTCCATCTTGCTCTGCATGACTCTTACCTTCTTGCCCACGTCCGTCCAAAAGAGCAACCGTTGTTGCGAGTGTATCGCGATATTGCGTGGCTTTTCACCGTCGCCCTTCACCACGATTCCAAGCATGGAAGCGTTGTCGAGGCGCGTCACGTTGATGACGTCATTCGCCATGCACGACCAGAAGAGCAATCTGCTCAGAGGATCCAACGCCAGATCGAAGGGATGGCCTGAACCGGCGGACACCACGATTGTGCCGCTGTGCTGCGTCTTGTTCTCCAGAGTGCGGCGAATAACGAAATTGCGACCATCGACCCAGTATACGTGCTGCGTCACTGGATCGTACTCAATCGCACGCACATTCTTCACACCCTGCAGACGCAACACCACGTCCGCGCAATCATCCGGCAAGTCTGGCAGGTAGCGTGCCATCGCGTTGCGGAGGCTATAGATCATGTAACGCTTAGGCGGCGTGCACGTGCGATTGTCTCGCGCGAGGCTGTAGTGTGTGGGACAGGCGCATTTGCGCGAGACTGACGTCCCGCCGTTCGCGTTGGGCAAGGCGATACACAGATGGCTGCAGTTTCCGTTCGCCACGGCGCACGGATTCCAACCGGGCTGGCGAGAACCGTGGAACACTAGCAAATCCGTTACTGATTCTAACTGATCGTGGATCCTGGTGCGATTCGCGCCAGTTGCCTTGTCCGCTCGCTCGATGTCACCGGTGTTCCAGTCCGTCCAATAAATATAATCACGATACTGCGTTATGCTGAACGGGTACACTATATTTTGCGTGACGATGGCGTCCTTCTGCCTCGTTTGCAGATTGAAGCAGTCGATCGCGGGTGTTTGCAGATCGGCCCAGTACAATTTGCGGGCAGCGTGATCGATGGTGAGACCATTCGCTCGACCGATACCCGACACGATCACATGCCGCTGTGTGCCATCTAAGTCTGCTCTTTCGATACTTCCTAGACCGCCCCATTCCGTCCAGTATATATGGCTGATAACAAATAGACGATCAAATAATAAAGCAACTTTTTATATTCAAAGTATATTGATTAACCTTAAATATTTAAATAATTTTTTAATTCCAATTAGACGTTTTCTCGTTTGTGTAAGAAATGATTTCGAACAATTTAATTAAAAAATACGCAAGTAATATATAGTTTATGTTATTATATATCAAGATTTTTTATCCAGAAGAAATTTTATCTAACGTATTGACGAAAATAAATAAAATATATTTCGTCAAAATTCGTCTTCTTACGCGTCCTGGGATGTATCAGAGAGAACAATATAAGAAAGCAGAACTCACCCTCTCTCGGGGTCCAAAGCCAAACATTTGGGCTCGATAAGATTCTGCCATACAAGAACTCGTCTGATACTGCCTTCTAATCTTATCATCTCTATACGACGTGTGCTAGTGTCACTCAAGTAAAGATTATGCGCGATCCAATCGAGTGCAAGACCCTCTGGAGACTCCAGGCCTAGATCGATTATCCTTTCTATTTCTGATCCGTTTATAAAGGCACGTGTGATAGCTTTTAGTTTAATGTCCGTCCAATAAATGCGATTCTCGTTAAAATCGAAGTCCAAAGCGCTGAAAAACGAAGATATCATTCAGACAATTAAGAAGAGAACACGAAAAAAAATAATCTTACGGTTTGTGCAACAGAATGTGCTCAGATAAAAATTCGATTACAAGAAACGATATTTCTTTAATCGCGACCGAAAATATTCGTTTTCAATAGCTGTGTTAAAAAATTGAGATATAACTGAAAACAATTCACTGAGTAGAAATCTCCTACAGGAATATTTATGTGAGATTTCTGTTCCCACAACTAAGTTTTCCTCTGTGACTCTCAGGTAACAGAAAATCCCACTTACACAAACTGAATTTCTCTTCAGTGCGCTTATTGTTAGTACTAGATTTCGTAATATTGTTAATACTTGAAATATTAACACAGGATCGAACATTTTGAAAATTAATTTATCTTAAAAACTAATATTATCGTTTAGGAATATGACTCATGATATACTATCTCATTTTGATATTTGCTGCAATAATGATAAATAATTATAAATTATATGAATCTTTCTTTTCTTTTTGAATTATATGAATCTTTCTTTTCTTTTGAAAATTATATGAAATAATTGATCTCTACAGTAACAAGTTAACGACGTTCCACGAACCTAGTATCCTTGAGGCCGGTGATCGGTATAAAGTTATCATTGTTGACGTTCTCGATGCTGATGCGCCCGATATTATCCTTTCTAGCGAACAGCAGGAACGCGTCCGGCACGACGCACGTGCGTTTGTCCTTGGTGAGCTCGTAACCGATCTGACAGGCGCACACGTACTTGTTGCGAGGCCGATTGAGGCATAAGTGGCCGCAACCACCGTTGTCGCGTCCACACGGGTTGGTGCTGGTGTTCACTCGACCGAGATGCACAGCTTTCAGACCCATCACGTTCGGCACCTGGTCGACGATCACTTCGCGTTCCCCGCCGGTGAGTTTGTGCGCCCGGTCGATGCTGCGTCGTTGCCAGTCGGTCCAGTACAGATAGTCACCCAGAAGACTAAGGCCGAATAGATGCGGCAGGTTGTCGGTGATAACTTCGCGACGATCGCTACCGTCCATGTTAGACACCTCGATCTTGTCGGTCTTGGCATCGCACCAGTAGATCTTCATGCGCTCGAGATCCAAAGCGATTCCATTCGGCCACAGGATGTCCTTAGCGACGAGCAAGACCCTGTCGGTGCCGTCGAGATTGCTGCGCTCGATCTTTGGTCGTTTCTCATTCCAGTCGGTCCAAAACATCCAGCCAAGATCGGGCGCAACCGCAATTGCCCGCGGCTCCACTAAATCCTCGTTCACCAAGACCTTGCGTCTCGTGCCGTTTAGACGCGCCATCTCGATGCGATCAGTACCGGTGTCGGTCCAGTAAAGGTTCCGGGCGACCCAGTCGATCGCGATGCCGTCAGGATTCATCACTTCCGTCACGATTACGTCCTGCTGTCCCGAGCCGTCGAGATACGCTCTCCGGATTGCGAACGATTGCTCGTCGGTCCAATACAGCATTTCGTCCAATGGGTCGAAGTCGATCGCAATGGCATGCTTGACGCCAGTCAACGGCAGCACGAAGTTGGTGTAGTCGGGCGAGTCTAAGGATATCCGACAGATCTCCGTCCTCTGGACGATCAGCAACAATTCTCCCGGGCCTTTGGCGCAAGTGAAGTTGTCGATCAGTTTCACGCCTGTGGGACAGGCGCAGGTGTAGCCGCGCTTCGACGTGCTCAGAAGACACAAATGAGAACAATTGCCGTTGTTCTGCCGACAAGGATTGTTGCCGTGAGGCTGCCTCTTCGGATCCCATACCTCGATGTCACCTGATATCAAAAGGAAAGATTTCTGTTGTGAGAGTTCTTCCGAATAAACCAATAAACCAATAAACGAATAAACCAATAAGCATGCAACAAATACAGAATATATCGATACATTACAAATATGACTTTTTTAAAACAAAAACATATGGTTTTCGGAAATTTGACAAATTCAATTGTTAATTAAATAATCTCAATTAAAAGTAAGAAGAAAGAAATGGCTCTCAAATATTGAATCGAATAGAAAAGAAAGAAGGAAAAAGCTTTTTACAGCCAAGCACGGATGTAATAGTGCAATATATACAATACGAAACAATTTTTTCTATAATATACTTGTAAAAAAAATTGATTTGTATTGTATATATTGAACTATTACATCCGTGCTCGGCTCTAAAAAGCTCTTTCCTTCTTTCTTTTGTGTTCAATTTAAATGATCTCTGATTCCCTTCGCTCATATCAACCGTCAATTAAACAAACTTTACTCGAAATCGATCGTCAATTAATTGAATTGAAATGTATTCGTTCAAATCAATCGAATTGCGAAAAATTAATATTTTTATAATGTATGCTGACTGTAATACGTGACATTCGTGCGCGTACCAGGTATGTATTCGCCGTGGAACAGCTCACGCGGATTCGCCTGCGACTGGCGCATGTCGTAAGAATGTATACACCACGTCTTCCAGTCTGTCCAGTAAAGTCGCTGGTCAAAGTATGTGATGGCAAAGGGGTAATCCAAGCCGCGATTGATAATCGTGCGTCGATTCCCACCGTAGAAATCTATCACGGCGATGAACCACAGTCTACCGTCTGCCCAGTAGATTAGCTCGTTCTCATAGTCCACCGTTAAGCCATTTGGCCAAAATATGTTGTCTGATACAATGACCTCGCGTGTGCTCGGATCACCGTCCATGCTGGCACGTTCTATCTTGGGCACATCACCCCAATCAGTCCAGAAGAGGAAACTCTTCATAGGTGCCAGCGCAATAGCACGTGGCTGATAGATATCGGTCCAAAAGAGGACCTTTCTGTGACGGCCGTCAATGCTGGTCACCTCTATCCTGTTCTTCTCCCCATCTGTCCAGTATAGCTTGCCTGTGTACCAATCGCACGCCAAACCATCTGGAGATATCAGACTGGAATTCACCACAGTCATACGTTCTCCGGTGTGAGTGCCATTGGCACGTATGCATTGTATCATCTCCAGGCCGCTGTCAGACCAGCAGACCAGCCCTCGTTCATAATAAAAGTCCAAAGCTGCACCCTCCGAGAGATCTTTGACGATGACATTGACCTTGTTACTGCGAGACACATTGGTCACCCGGATGTCCTTATGAGTGGCGAACAGGAGAACGGGTGAACCTGAAAATAACGCGATTGTGACAGAATTAAATCAAAGATAATGTCAATGTAGAAGAGAGGGAGGTGAAGGACAGGGAGGATCCTCCTCCCTTAGGAAAAATTACTTAGAGTTGTTCAAATTAACTTTAAGCAACTTCGAGTTAATTTGAACATCCTAAAGTAATTTTTCCTAAGGGCTGCGTCTTGAGATCGTTGTGCACCTACCGTAACAAGAGAAAAAGAGGTAGCAAAGAACGCAAATAATTAACATCACCGACGAGATACTAGAAAGACCGTCGGCCTTACGGGTTTTAACAACACTGAGAAATCTCACGGTGCGCCAGTGCTGCGAGTTCGGGTAACTTTGGTGCGTTCGCTTTGGACGCTTACGCGCTTAAGCGTCATTCTATCTTTATCGCTCATTACCTGCGGGAAAAAGATAGAATGACGCTCACAGCGCAAAGCGCCCAAAGCGAACACACCAAAAGTTACCCGACTCACAGCACTGAACACTGATACAGATTGAAGGTTAGTGTCCAACAGTACAGACAGAAGGTTAACAGACTCTATAATATCGCAGAAAAAAGTAAATATAAATACAATATTTGGTAATTGTGAAGGAAACACCCGATCTCATCGATTTTGTTAAGATTTGGTAAGATAATGTATTATGACGCGTAGAAACCGAATCTGAAAGCCAAAATCGTCGCTTTACACGATAAAGCGAGATATTAATCGTTTAAATTGCACAATATTCAAGGTTAGGAAACCTGTCATATCGACGATGCACTGACATGAGCATGTGTAATAACATTTAGTCTGTTCTTTGTAGTTGTAGAGCTCCTAAATAAACAATAAATATATTTATTAAACTAATAAATATATTATTAACTAATAAATATATTTATTAACAATAAATATATTTGTGGGCTCCTAAATAAACAATAAATATAAAAATACGTATAGTCATGTTAACTGTAGTGTTGTGAATGTATATGAGTATATATGAATGTGCATATGAATTGTCAATAAGTACAATTTTAAGTATATTAAGCTATAATCTTTTGCCTTACTAAATTAATGAGTCTAATATATATTAAAAGATTCTGAAAAGAGTAGCAAAGATCCCTACGCAAGGTTTGGGATTAAATCTGCAATAAATGCATAGACTTTAGTGATAAATGGATGCAACATACCTTGCATAAAGGCCTTTGCTAATCTTTTCAGAATCTTTTATTTTAATATATATTAGACTCATTAATTTAGTAAGGCAAAACATTGTAGCTTAATATACTTAAAATTGTACTTCTTATTTACAATACATATGCATTCATATACATAACACTATAGTTAACATGGCTATACTTATTTTTATATTTATTGTTTATTTAGGAGTACACACTCAGCACATTGAATGTGTTTGGAGAGAAGTTCGAGCTAATATTCCATGATATGGAACATGACCTTTAGTGGGATACTTAGCTGAATATCTCTTCAAACACATTGATAAATATAAAGAGCATCTATCCGCTTTCTTCTCAGCGATTGTGGAAGTATACAAACCAGAGTTTTCTAAAACCTATGATGTAGATACATATGTATCAGAAGTTAATAACAAATTTTTATATAAAAATTTTGACATTTATATGTACTTATAATTCATTATTATTTTATATATTAAAATGCATAAATTTTAAATTTACATATATTTTATCGTATCTGGATTATAATATATAATGAAGTTATATTCTAATATATATTAAGTTCTGACAGGTTTTCTAACTTTAAATAATGTACAATTTTCATCATTAATATCTTGTTTCACTGTGAAAAACGACGATAAATAAGACCCGAGACCTCATAGGGGTTCAAGGGGGCGAAACCCCCGGTTAGAGGAGGTTCAGGGGGCTAAGACCCCCCCCCCC